GAATTGATAAATTAAACTTGGTAAATCTTTATAACCTAAGAGTGACACTTAGGTTAATTTTATGATATAATCAAAGAGTGACACTTTGATTTGTGCTTGATATTGATCTGTTAAGTTAAAGTTTGTTAATTTTGTGAATTACAACTTGTAGAACCGAGAGGGGAGGAGTTGTAAAAATAATCGATTTCATAACCGAGAGGGGAGAAATTGATAGAACTTGGCTCATTTAAAATAGACATGTTCGGAGACGTATTGTCTATGCGTTAATTATTTCATTAATTTGCTCATTTATGTTTTTTCATATATTACGAGAGTTAGTATGGTTGAACCGCTAAATGAGTTGGTTAGTTGAACTACTTAACCGAGTTATTGATTGCCGTTGAATGAATGTAAAACTGGAAGCGATTTATTCCCGATTCCCTAGCTTCTTTATTATTGTCTCGTTTATATTTTTAGCTAGATTATTATTTTATGTTATTTCTTAGTTGATATTTTAGTTAATTATTATCCAATTCATCTTGATTAGAATGTTTAGGCTTTATTTTCATTTTATATGTTATCAACACCAATATTAAATTCCGAACAGTTTTCCTCGAGAGATCGACCCGGGAAACGAATCATTTAATTCGGTGCTCTGTAAAATAAAAATAATTTGTACACAACAACCACCTCCTTCTCGACCACACTCTTCTCCATGTGTAGCAAGGTCACACTCCTGCTCTTGCAATCTACCAGACTTTGTGCCACTTTAGCTAATAGATCCGCTCGACCATTTTCTCCTCGAGGTATCTGGATTAACTCGAAAGAATCAAACTCCCCTTGTAGTTTCTTTATCTCCTCCACATACTTCACCACCCTTTCTTCCCGGACCTCAAACCCTTCTTGGAATTGACCCACCACCAATTGTGAATCCGAATGTATCTGCACTTTTCGAGCTCCGCCATTTAAGGCCAGTTTGAGTCCCTTAATGACCGCTTCGTATTCCGCTTTGTTATTTGATATCTGGTACGCCACTTTGATTGCAAACTCGAGGCTGTCACCCTTTGGCGACATAAGTACGATGCCTAAGCCACCCCCGACCCTTGACACCGATCCATCTGCATAGACTTGCCACACTCCTTCAGTTTCTTCTTCTTTCTTCGTCCCTTCTTGTATGAAATCGGCCAGTGCCTGGGCTTTAATCGCCCTCCTCGGCTCATAAATAATTGTGTATTCACTCAGCTCGACCGCCCACTTGACTAATCGACCCGATACGGAGGGTCGACCCAGCGTTTCTCCCAGTGGCATATTTGTCCAGACTTTCACCCTGTGTCCCAAGAAGTATGGTCTCAACTTTCCGACAGTGGCGACGACTGCCAAGGCCCTCTTTTCTATCTCCGAATACCTCTTCTCCGCGCCTTGCATCACCTTACTCACGTAATAAATATGGAACTGGGCCGTCCCCTCCTCCCGCAATAACACCGAGCTTACTTCCGTCTCGCCTATGGACACATATAACACCAAGTCCTCCCCTTGCACCGGCTGTGCCAACAGTGGTAGGTCGACCAACACCTTCTGCAACTCCTCAAATGCTCTCTGGGCTTCTTCTGTCCATTGGAACTTCGAGCTCTTCCTGAGTGTCTTGAACAGAGGCCCGCTTTTCTCAGCCACCTTAGAGATAAAACGGCTCAGGCCTGTTATTCGACCAGTTAGGATCTGCCCCTCCTTCACCTTCGTGGGGGGCTGCATCTCGACCACCGCCCTTACTTTCTCCGGGTTGACTTTGATTCCCCTCTTCATGACCATGTAGCCTAAAAACTTCCCAGATTTGACCCCAAATGAGCATTTAGCGGGATTCAACTTCATCCTATACTTCCGGAGGGTCATGAATGTTTCTTTCTAGTCGCTTACATGGTCGATCTCCTCCGTGCTCTTTACCAGCATATCATCCACATACACCTCCATGTTCTTTCCCAGCTGATCCTTAAAGATTTTGTCCACCAACCTTTGATATGTTGCTCCTGCATTCTTTAGACCGAATGGCATCACCACATAACAATATGTTCCACGGCTCGTTACAAAACTGACCCTTTTCCAATCATCTCGAGCCAACGGGATCTGATGATAACCCTGGGATGCATCCATCAAGCTGAGTAGCTCACACCCGGCTGTGGAGTCGACCAGTTGGTCGATCCTGGGCAGTGGGTATAAATCCTTCGGGCATGCCTTGTTTAAATCTCGAAAATCTATGCACATCCACCATTTCCCCTCTGATTTCGAGACCATAACCGTGTTCGATAGCCACTCTGGGAATTGGATCTCCTTTATATGACCTGCCGCCAAGAGTTTTTCTACCTCCGACTCGATTATTTTGTCCATTTCTGCCCCGTGATGTCTCTTTTTTTGTTTCACCGGTCTTACAGTGAGGTCGATGTTCAACCGGTGCTCAATAACTTCAGCCTTGATGCCAGTCAACTCCTCCGTAGAGTATGTGAACACATCTGCAAACTCCCTTATTACACTAATCAGCCTCGATCTCACTGGCTCCTCCAATTCCTTCCCGATCCCAAATTTTCTCTCTCCGTATCCCTCGACCATCTGTATCTCCTCAACTTCGCCACCCGGCTGGATATCTACCTTCTCTTTCCCCTTCTCCAACTTATGCTTCTCCTCCTTCGACCTTGACCCTCCTGGTCGATTAACTTCCTCCCCTTTAGAGTGCATCTGCCTCCTTGCTAACTGTTTGTTGTTTCTCACAGTGGTCTGGTAACAGCTTCTCGAGGTCAGTTGATCCCCAGCGATCTCACCCACATTTTCGCCCACAGGATACTTAATCGTCATATGGTATGTAGATACGACCGCCTGGAACGCGTTCAAGCTTGTTCTCCCCATTATGATGTTGTAAGATGATTTAGCTCCTACGACCACAAATCTCACCATTCGAACTTTCCGGGTCGCTCCTTTCCCCAGTGCCACAGATAGACTCACCTCTCCCATTGGCATAACCTCCCCACCATTAAAACCATACAAGGCCGTAGCCACCGGCTTCAACTCCACATTCAACTCTCGATTAATTTTCACAAAGCAATCGTAAAACATGACATCGACCGAACTTCCCGTGTCTATAAACACTCTCTTTACATCGAAACCTACTACTTCCGTCGTAATCACCAAGGCATCATTATGAGGTATCACTATCCCCGCTGCATCTTCTGCCCGAAAACTGATTTCTGGCACTCGGGCCATGATACCCACTTCCTCTCTCTTCCTCTTCATCGCTCGAACATGGCCCCTCCTAGCATTATTCGAGTCTCCATCTGTCGGTCCTCCTGAAATCATATATATCGTGCCTCTCTTCACTTGGCCTCCATCTCCTTCTCTTTCTCGCTCCCCACTTCCTCACCTCTTTTTCCCTTCATCTCTTTTTCGACCATCTCGACCACCTCGTGCATCCTCATCATCATCTTCCTCGCTCTTCTCCACCGAGTCCTCCCGACACCGTCTCTTCTCCTTCCTCCTCACCTTATCCTGATAGACAAACTCTTTGAGATGCCCTGCCCGAATGAGGCGTTCAATTTCGTCCTTGAGATGTCGACAGTCTTCAGTAGTATGGCCATAGTCTTTGTGGAAGCGGCAATATCTCCTCGACTTCGGTTGGATTGGCCCTTCGAACCTCGACCTCGGCCACGTCACATATTTCCCATCTATCCCTTTCTCCATGGCCATCAAGACCTCGGCTACCTTCGCGTTCAATGGGGTGTAATCATGGAACCTTTTCTCTCTAGAGATAGGCCTGTCCTTCCATCTGTCCTCTCGTCCTCGATCCTGCTTAGCTCGCCCCTCTCTCCTGGGTGAGGCTCTCCCCTTAGGCGAAACTGCTTTCTCCTTCCTCAACTCCCCTCGACCCAACTCCTCTAGCTTGGCAAACTCTGCCTCAGTCTCCTCGAGATTAATGTATTTCTTACACCTCCTAAACACCTCATCATACGTACGAGCAGGGGTCTTAGCCAGAGAAGTCTGACATGGTCCTGCCCGCAAACTCCTAATCAATCCTCCCGCCTTGACCTCATCGACCGTCGACGGAATCTCCAAGCAAGCTTGGTTGTATCGAGCCACATATTTGCGCAGTGACTCCTTCTCGCCTTGTCTCATCGCCACAGTGTTAAGTACGTTTCTCCTGAGCCACCGCGCTTGAATATTGATTTGTCAACTTCTCTGTAAAATCCTCGAAGTCCACAATCGAGCCTGGGGGAGCTGTTGGAACCAGTCGAGCACCCCTCCCCTGAGGGTCGATAAGAAGGCCCTACAACTAACGGGATCAGTATATCCATATAACACAGCCATATTTTCGAATGTTCTCACATGCCTCGACGGGTCAGAAGTCCCATCAAACACTAAGTTGGTATCCTTGTAATTAATTGGCAAGGGTGCTGCTAGTATGTCCGCCGAGAACGGGTGTCCTCGAGCGCGTCTCTCCGCTCGGCCATCCACCTTAGCCTGCAATTGACGCAGATGTTTCGCCATTCTCTCCATCTCTCGGTCATGTAGGGGCCCGCCTCCACCATAGTTAGATTCATCCTCCTCTGCATTTTGGCGTGTCCCTGCAACAGTGTTCGGCATCGCAGTAGCCCGAGAGAGACTGTTTGTGACTTGTTGCACCGCCTGTGCAGCTGCCTCCGCCACCATTTGTTGCATCTCCTGCCTGGTCATCACCACCTGCTGGCCGGGGACTTGCACCGTTGCCTGTGGTGGTGCTTCTCCTTGTCCCGCTGCTCCTCCTGGCTGCGCCGCCACTCCTCTTGGTGGCGCTACCGCTGGATTTTGTGGCGGCGGTGGTGGCATCGCCGCTGCATCCGCTGCGCGAGTCTCTGGGGCACGGTTGGAGCCAGCATCCCCTCCGGGAATCGTTGTCGCCGCTCCTACACCTTGAAGAACCGGCGTAGGAGTGATTGGCGTCTGCGATGGGCCAGAAAAACCCGGAGGAGGGCCTTGTCCAAACGGCCTGATCATCGTCCAAGCGTCGTCGAACGTCGACTACAAGTTCCGTCCGCCATAGCTGAGCTTCAAACACAACTTTTCAAACGGAAGTCCCACAGACAACGCCAAATGGTAACACAAAACTTCCCGACTGGCTGGAACTTGAATAATCACCTTCCTTCTCGTCGGTTGAACGTCGTGCACCTACAAAGAACTCTCACACCGGAGAGGTTTTTCGGTGAAGAGCCTCCGAAGCTTAAGTCAGTGTATGTTCAATCAATTCTCAAGTGTATGTTCAATCAATTTTCAAGAGTAAGCAATAGAATGATCGTGTTGAAGAAGAAAGGCTCACCCCCTTTATATAGGGGTGAGATACCTAGACCCAACGAATGGGTTTACATGTTCGTATAAACAAATAATTGAATCTATTTGTTGTCCTATCTGGCGAATAATTATTACAAACATTCAACCATAAGAAATTTCTCCAAATGTCCGAGGTTGCAAAAATCATTCATCACATTCAACAACATTCATCAAATACACATAAGACCATAATAGTGGATTTAACTAATTCCTGCAAATAAAGCCGTAAAAATTCGAACTTTGTACAAAATGAATTAACCAAGTGCTCTGTTACCACTTGTTGGGATGGAGGAGAATCTCGTTATGTACACATCACTAATTCAATAGCAACAATTAAACCTATGCGCAGCGGATCTAGAGGTTTAGAGTTGAATACTTACGGCTTAAAATTCGCAGACTCTGAGACGTTGTAGATTACCGTTGTAGAAAATCGTCTGATCTCAAAATCTGTTGGGCAGTCGAATTCTTCTCATCGGACTTCGAGAATTAGTTGCGTGCGGTGGCCGGGAGCATCTCGTGCGTTGCGCCGGTGTCGCGTGGAGGTCGCCGGAGGCAGATGGTGTCGGACGTCGCGATCGGGTGTTGCAGTGGGGCTCGCCTGGGATCGGGATCGTCGCAGGTTGGGCTCGC